TCCTCGACAGTTACCTCCTCTCTGTGCTGTCGGCTGAGATCATCTCTGTGCCCACACGGTAAGGACAGTTTCTAGGACCATTGCGTGTCCGCATGTCGAGGTTTATGTGTAATCCGGTAACTAGGAGGGACAAAGGCAGCTGGTGTGTAAGAAGAAAATTAAGTGATGGACAGACGTGCATCCTGTAAGCCACTACATAAGCCTGTCACGGCACTTCAACCGTCGTTGTCCACCGTGTGTGTGCGTATGTCACAACAGGGTTAGCGCAAGGACGGTGAATTGCACGTGTTCTAGTTTAGTGACTCGAAACTTGTGTGGCATCTACCGCACTGAATGCTGCCTCTCCCACCTGGATCCTGACCAATTCAAAAAGACCAAAGGCGGTAGAAGACTCTGGCGGCTGACACGGTAGAAAGCCGCGCCTAGGCGTGCTATCGCACACACCCCTAATGTGTAGCATTTGTTATGGCGTGCGCATCCCCAATAGTGCCTGCTGTGTACTAATCTAGTTCCCGTACTGATTAAGTGCAAATGCCTGACACATGGCGCGTACAAGTCCTCGTCATAACTGCCTACATCGTCGACAAAGTGGTTAATATGGTTTTTTAGTGTGGTCCTATCCATTGCTTCCTTCCGCTCAGTAGACTTCTTAGTCTGCCAATCCGTCCCGTTTAATCCCGTTTTGTTACGTTTCTCTAGGGTTTGGTTGCTACTGAACACATTTACCCGCGACAGCCGATTGTGGAATATCGAGGCAACGCGATGCTCCTAAGTGAGTACAATGAGCAACAGGATTATCGGAGAAAGTATGTTTATTTATTAAAATCCGCTGACATTTCCTTTTCAGTTACAATCCTTTTATGTTGTTCTACAAAAAATTGGACAAGACAGTTATATGCGTAGATGCGCGCAATTATGGCAACGAGGCCCGATTCATCAGGAGGTCCTGCAATCCTAACTGCGAGGTACGTCCTACTACGACGACAGTGTTTGCCATGTTCCCAATTTGTGCACTTAGTTGTTCTCCGTATTGCTGCATCTCTCTTTGGCATTCGCTTCCCTACTACATTGCAATTATTAGGTTGTAGCCTAAAAACCAATATATGGGTTCTTTGTAAACACTACTTGTTACGCGTAAAACATAAATTGAACAATATAGCGCTTGTCGTTAAGGAACGCCGTAGGCTGCCTTGTTGAATTTTAATTGAAATTCATGCACCGCATATCCTGCACAAATTTGAACGCCACAGCGAAATCGAAATCAAATTATCCCTCCATAATTCTATGTCACGGCGAGTTCTAGAACGAAACAGAAAAAAAGAAACGATTGACTTATGACGGGTATGAAACAAGAGGTCACGTATGAAAATATACTTTGTACCGGTCTTTGAAGAGTGCTACTAAGGAAAAAGCTCGTATCGGTGCCATCGATTCCTGTTGACAGGACAGAGACCACGGCTCTCGGGTTGTCTAAAAAACGGTTTAGGTGCGGCTCTGTAGGTAGCAATGCGATTTGTTCGAGGTCGCCCATCTTTTTATGAATGAATTGCTGCTCCCAGAGTGGCCTTGAAATATTACATTTGTCTCTTGTCCTCCCTGTTATTACTTCTGCTGTCAGATCCGAAACCGCAAGACTACGTTCAGATCCTCAGCTTGGTTTTTGTGGAATTCACAAATTGTAAGCGTCTTCTATGACACTTAATATACACCAGGGGCCTGACGAGCCTGCCGGTTTTCGATTAGTATAGAGCAGAGTTGCTTGGGCAGTGGGTCTTTTCGAACAGATATCTTCAAATGTTAACCATGTCCCTGAGCGCGTTCTTCAATCTTCTTTCGCCACCTTACTTATTGCCCCTCTACAGGGGTCTACTCTTAATTGTATCTCCCTTCCCCCTATTCCTTCATTTTCAATCACTCAACCCATCTGTGATTGAGTTTTTACAATCTGAGCGTTTAAGCCACAAGGCTGTCCGCTGCTGACTGTTGATGACAACTCGTCAGCTGTTTTCTATCCCCGTAATCCTTAACACAAAATGTTATAGTCATTAAACTCAGGTTCCCGAGCCTTTCAAAATCGTAGCATATTTGACTCTTGCCAGTCATCAACACAATCTCGAAGGACTTCTTTGAACAGGCTTATGGGAACTGCGCATTTTCGTGTTACTTACACCCGTGTGCTGGGTCAGTGCACTTAACGCGGCCTTTTAATCAAATCTTAATTAAATTGTTTAGGTTCGCCTCGTATTTCCTCCTACGGACTCCTTCTCCTCGGTCATAAACCCCCAGTGTATCAAGTTTATCGTCGCGGCCACCAGAGTCATCCCAAGTGGTACTGAGTTAACAATACCCTTCGATTTCGACTACACCTCCTGCTGGTACCCCGTCAAATGTGCCTGTTCCAG